TATATATATATATATATATATATATTAAAATTATTTGTTTTTTTTTATACATGCACTCATTGAAATTATTTTAGAAATCAAAGGTGGTTCAAAACACCAGCAAAGTCGAATGTATGTTTAAATTTGTTGTTAACTTATTACTGTTTCAACTGTTGTTTTTTGTTGTTGTTGTTGTTGTGAAATCAAATACTTTATAAATATATTTATTTTTACAGTCTCAAGCAAATCACTCAATCCTCCTTTTATTAAAATTGAGGACAAATCAAGGTTACTTTTTTAATTTTAATATGTTGAATTGCAAATGGGGTTGTCCATAAATCATGTCGCGCTCTAGGAGGGGGGGGGGGGGGGAGGGGCTAGTGGTTTTGTAAATACTTATATGAGACTTACTAATGAGCATTTCCAAAAAATCATGCACAAAACATTGCATCTGTTGCATCAGTTATTTTTAAAAAAAATGCATTTTGTAATCTCTAACTTAATTTTAAATGACATGTATGTATATATTTCCTATACAATGTATGGTAGCTATTAGTTGCTTCATTATAGAATAACTTAATTTTTTAATGGAGTCACTCACGGAACAGAAAAAAAGCAAAAAATTAAAGTTTTATAAATGAACCCTATTTTCTCTGAGAATCTCTGAAAACCCTATTTTCTTAGAAAAAAATTTTTTTTTACTATTCAATTCAGTTTTACTTTAGTAAAAAAAATCAGTTTCATTGAAACTTATTGAGTCTTCTATTCCCAAATAATTAGAACTTTAAAATCAAGTTCGGAAATTCAAAATACCCTTCACTTTGGCATAAAATGATACTTAGTTGCAATTTATGATAATGAAATATTAAAACACATCATCTTTAAGAATTAAAAAATATGGACAAGGAAATCAACTTTAAACATCATAAGCACATATAATAAAAACTTTTGTATTTTGTCCTGAAAAATGTTTATATTTATTGTGAAGTTTGAATAATTAAAAAATGAAGAAAGATTTATCTCCTATAATTTTTCTTTTGAATAATCAAAATATTACGTATCTTCTTTTGGATTCCATCTTTATTGTTTTTAATTTTTTTTTTTTTTTTGACTTACTGGAATGGAAATGCCCTAAAGTGTTACAATGTTGTAACGAGGGGAAGTGGGTCAAAAAAATTTGAAAATTTCATGGCATAATTTATGGATGACCCCTATCCTATAACTTTGTGTAACCCTGAAATATATATATTTTTTTAATTTCACATCCGTTTTTCCACAGTTGTGTGATTTGGACGGTTCTTTATAATGATATAAATGCCATTATGAAAGAGTAAAAGGATAACCTGATATATATATATATATATATATATATATATATATATATATATATATATATATATATATATATATATATACATAAGTATATATATTATTTTTATTATTATTATTATTAATTTTTTTATTCAGATTGTATAGGCCAATGTACAAAGAAGAAATTGAATCTGGTTTTCCCTTAATTTTTCATTTAAAAGAAAGTTTCCAAGTCAATTCAAATAACGAAACTATGTACGTTTTTTATTACAATTTAGTTTCTGCATGTGTGGGTGTGCATATATATATATATATATATATATATATATATATATATATATATATATATATATATATATAAATATATATATATATATATATATATATATATATATATAAAGTGATATTGCATACTTTTGTTAGCATTATGGCAGTATACTGATTTTGGGGTAAGCAAGGGTTTCAGTACACATATAGACTGATTTAGGAAGAACCAGCATGGGAGTTGCTGACACATCTCCTCTGGGTTTGGGTTAGGATAGCAACAAGTCAGGTTTTTTTTTCATTTCAGGGTAAATTTTTACATTACTCTTTATTTATATGTATTTAAATAATATTTGAACACAAGTGTCTTTTTATTTATTTTAGAACTAAAAATTGCAAATCTTACTGTGAGTGTTGTGAAGTTAAATTTGAAGATTTAAAATTGGTATTTGATATTTTGTTAAAAAGTTTATCGATTTCATTTTAATAATAAAGCCATAGATGATTTTCAAGATTTTATTTCATATCTTCAGTTTTCATACATATATATAAGTTTATTGTTAATTTAGTTATTATTAAATATAGTTTTAGTACTAATAATAAACTTGTTTTTATATTCAGCATTTGAATGGAAATCAACACAGACAATTTGCTTTAAACAGTAATAACTATGCAGGTGTTGATGATATTTAAAAAAGTTTTTCTTTTGAAAAATTTCTTTTGGAAATTGAAAGTAGTTTAAAACATAATGTTACGTTTTCAAGTTTAACTTCTATTGAAGAGACACATGTTCATTCCGATAATAAACATATAGTTAGTGAAGTTAGTGAAATTAGTAGTGATTTTGTTGATTTTAGTTTATCAAGTGATAAAGAAAAACATAAAGTAAATGAATACGAAAAAGTTGATCCTGAAGTTGTAAATTGTCTCTCTATTGCTAAAAATGAAAATATAACCATAAAAAAGACTATTCAAAGAGAAAAAAAGATGTGTCCTGAATGCAGTGCAAATGTATACAACATCCCAAGACATTTGCAGGGAAAACCCCATTATTGGTCAAAAGAAGAAAAGAGTTATCGATACAAAGTGTTGTTGGAAACGTAAGACGAATTTTTGAAATCATTGGAGTCAACAATGATTTTAGAATTGTTTTTTTTGATATTAGTAAAAGTGTAAGAGATAAATATCTTACAACATATTGTGTTGAGAAAAGTATAAAGCCTGGGGCTATAAAAACATATTTATATTCATTAAAAGATTTTTGTGACTTTCTTTTAGCTGAAAATATATTTTTAGAAGGTATCACTAACCAACATATTAGTGAAGCTTCTATGAAGTTAGATCAATGGAGGAAAAAATATAAAGCTCATGATAAAGTACAAAAACACATACGAGCTGAAGAAGACTTTGAAATGCTTATTACTTCTGAGCAAGTTAGTTTATATGAAAATAGTCAATTTGCTAGTAATGCCAGAAATATGAGAAAATCAACTGAAAATCTGCCTTTTTCACCAACAGATTATTGCTGTGTAAGAGACCATTTACTAACTATACTTATATTTTCTAATGCGCCACGGTCAGGTGTCCTTGCTAGAATGACTGTAACTCAGTTTGAAAAAGCTGTTATTTCAGATAATCGTGCTGTAATAAGTGTTAAAGACCAGAAAACATTTTCTACTTATGGAGCAGCGAAAATACAGATCCTAGAAGAACATTATAAATGGGTAAACACTTTTATAAAAAAGTTTAGAGCTTGTTTACCCATTCAGTGCGATAAAGTTTTTCTTGCTCGGTCGGGGCGCCCACTTTCACCAGGAGATATTAGCAAACGCCTTGTGGATAATTTGTGGAGGAAATGCGGAATTTTTAATAAGCGCGTTATTCCCAAACATTTATCGGCTAATATTGTTAGGAAATCTGCTTCAACCAATTTAAGAGAAGCAAACAGTAAATTTGTGAAAGAAGCCGCAAAAGCAATGATGCACAGTGATTGCACTGCTGAAGAACATTATGCCATACCCAACATGGTAAAATCTGTTAAGTCTGGTCTAGAAGAAATTCGGCAACAATTTTACAGATGCACTACGCCAAATGACATTTCATTAAAAACAGATGATGCTGTAAATAAAGACCCAAGTATGGAATCTTATCCACTTATTGGTGATAATACAGTTCATCAAAAATTAGAAAAAAAAGGAACAATTAATCAAACCTCAAACATTATATCTACTATCACTACTCCACACAAAAAAGCTTGGTTGCCAGATGAAAATAAAGTATTGAAAGAGGTTTTCCAAAGCGGATCACCATCTGTTAAAGAAATTAAAAAAGTTCATTCACATCTGAATATTGATGCCTCGCCAATACAAATCTACAATAAGTTTAGTAGCATTCGCAGGTATTCGCCACACTGCAAGGTTCGTTTTTTTTGTATTTCAAATTTCTCTCAAATCAGCACTCAAATAGTTCTTATTAATTAAACTTTTAATAAAAGATTGAGAATGCAATTTAACACTAGAATTATAAAAAAGAAAAAAATAAAGTTGCTTTTACATGAAAAACCATATTAAGTTTTTAAATTAACTTATATAATCATATGGTAAATCTTTTGCAACTAAATGGTTTATTAGCGACTCGGAGCAATCAATAAATAAGTGATTTGACAGCAAAATTATTGATCAAATGATTATATGTTCTAAGGATAACTTTATGTTTGGCTTACAATTTGACTGGAATAAAAAATTTAAAAGCAAAATATACAGGTGAAAATGTTGTGCAAGTTTATGAATTTAAGAGGTGAACCAGTTGCTGCTTTATGTAATTTAATAAAAGCTTTTGGCTTCCTTGACTGGTACTTTTGAGTGTTTGAAATCTACTATGAAGATATTTTAAGTTTTACTCAGAAATATATTTTAAAAAATATATTTCTGAGTAAAACTTAAAATATCTTGTTTATTGACAAGAATTGTATGTAACTTTTCTCATCAAAAGTAATATTATAAATATGGTTATATTGCCTATATCTTTTATTTTAATAAGTTTTTCATAAGTTTGAGCACTCCATTTGAATCTATTTTTCTTGAAGAATGCACTTTTACATTTTGTAAAGCATCAAACTCAGATTTTTTTTTTTCAATCATAAGTCACATGATATTTGCGGCAGTCATTATTGATAGTTGATTTTTTCATCAAAATTTTATACATATGATTTCTATTTTAATACATATAATTATATTTCAGGAAATATGGTCTTGTGGTGTATAGTGTATATTATATATCTTTTTTCTATCATTTTTAGTGTAGTTGATTTTTACTTTCCACTAATATTAAATTTATGTGCAAAAGATTTACAATGGATTATTTTTAAATTTTTATTTGGTTCACCAAAATCTCTGATCAAAATATTCTTCAATATTCTAATCAAAATCTCTTTTCAAAGTATTCAAAACCTCTGTAAATATTGTAAAACACTAATTTAAATAAACTCAGTTAATTTTACTTTATAAATTGTTAGGAATCTAAACGAGCACTTTTTTCCAAAAGTCGTATGTGCAAATGGAAACCACATCATATTAACACCCTTCGAACTGTGGGGGCTGATTTACTCTCAGGCAGTTCCCTTTATGCAAGTAAAATAGAAGAAGTGCTTAAAGGAACAGAAGTATGGACTGATTTTTCTATTGCACAAATTCGAACACGTGTAAAGCACGAGAAAGATATATTTGCGAAGACTTGCATTTGATTTCACAATTGTGAGTCTTCACATTAAAAACTTCACATTAGAAACTTAGTTTTATATTTTTTTAGCTTTTTAGTAATAGTTTTGTTGGCAAGTTTATTTATGGAATTGTCTTAATGTTATTTGTTTTGTTTTTTAACAAATTTAGTTTATTTTCTAGTTTTAAAATATTTAAGTTGCATTTGTTAGCTTTGCAAAATGACAACTTCAAATTAAATTTTGATACTGCTGTAGTTTTTCTTGAGGTTTTGTTGATATTTCAGTATTATGCTTTGTATAACTTGAGAGAGTGCTTTAACTAGTTTTACTTAGATAAATCCAGCAAAATATAAAGGCTTTATGTAGACAAAGTTTGTGGTATTTTTTTGGTTTTGTAATCTAAAGAACAAAAATGTACTGTATATCACTTATTAATAAAACCAAAGTGAATTCAATCGTTTACCAAGCTTTTTCGAAAACATGACTAATTATTACATACTTTACCATACACTGTTATATCTAGTATTTTGATAAATTTATTATTATTTATTTTTAGGTAATTTTTATTCAACTAAGTATTCTATCAAATTTATTAGAGAAAAATCCAAGCTGATCATAATTCTTCAATGTGAACTTCTTAAAAGTTTACTTTTTATGCAGCAAAATAAATTTAAAACACAAAAAAGAAAAACCCCAGATTTAACAGAAGGAGTTTAAAAATAAATGCAACATATGGTAACATGTTTTCTATTTTCTAATTTAGTAAATATAAATTTTTTAGATTTTTGATTTTAGAATTTAAATTATTTTTAGATAAAACAAATGGTGTGTATTGTGAAATAAACTTTGTGTAAAATTATAAATATTTATTAATGATAAATCATTCTATATTATTGCTGAACTTAACGCTGCTGCTCACCATTCGTGCGCCTTTACACAGACTTTTTTACCATACTTGGCCTTTCAGTTTTATTATCTCACGCAATGAGGTACTTTCAAATCTGTCAATATCTGCCTAATTAGTAATGAGATCAACTTTGCTTCATCAGCTTAATTAGTGATAAGATCAACAATTTTTATTTAATAACTTCTGTAGTAAAGGATAAACCTTATGTTATTTTTGAATTAGTAAAGTAACTTTTAAAGTCAGGTGATTTATTTAATTCATGCATTATAATAATAACGCAATTTAAGTCCTTTGTCAATTGTATTTAAAGTATATTAATCTGTAATTTTTAAATTAGAAGGCGATGATGACTCAAGAAAACGTTGCTCTTTTCAAATGCAAGAGGTCAAACTTTTGATAAAGTTAGTGCTTATCTTCAAAACCCTTGCATCTCACACGGTCAACTCGATGTTACATGTTAAAGAATAAGATCGTTTAATACCTTATTTAAAAGAAGTTACAAAAAAAATCCGTTTGCTTTTATATAAAAAACCAGATCGTTTGATCGTTTGTTTTTGCAAGTTGTTAAACATTTATTACGAGGTATGTCATTAAACAAAAATAAAGTTGTGTTTGTAAAGTTTCTAATTTATATATTTTTTTCAATTTATATATTTATTTATATTTGTGCGTTATTTATTATGTGTTTAAATGTGTTAAGGTTATAAGGGTTATTTTGTAAGTGTGTAAATATGTTTTATATATGAAATGTTTCTATGTTTGTGATGTTTTATAATGTTAAGTGTTTATAGTTTGTAAGTAATTATTATGTTGTTTGCATGGTTTCAAATTGTTATGAATTACAGCAAGATTGTTTACCTTGCTGGCCAAGTGGTGTACTTTGCTATAATGTGACTTTGTTGAGAGCAAAGTCACATGTTAGCAGTGCTTGCTTAGCCGACAGGCCTTTTAATTTTTTAATTTGCTATATTTATGAGATCTAATATGTAAAAAAAAAATTTTTTTAACTTGCTATATATGATAGAGTATAATAGATTATTGTATTATGCTCTGTATTATTCG